GACCGGTTGGGGGTCGCGGCATTAAAAAGGTTGAGAACCACTGATCTATAGAGAAATAATCTAATCTTTACAAAGGATCACTTGGGCAGAAGAACCTGCTAAAACCAGGATGCGTTGCCTATACAGGTAGTCCTCGACTTATGACTGCAATTGAGTCCAACATTTCTGTTGCTAAGCGAGACAGTTGTTCAGTGAGTTTTGCTCTGTTTTACGACCTTTCTGGCCACAATTGTTAAGTGAATTATTGTGGTTGTTAAGTTAGTAACACGGTTGTGAAGTGAATCTGGCTTCCCCATGGACTTTGTTGGTCAGAAGGTCGCAAAAGGGGGTCGCGTGACCCCGGGACACTGAAACTGTCATAAATATGAGTCGGCCATGCGTGTGAATTTTGATCACATGGCCACGGGGGTGCTGCAACGGCCGTAAGTGTGAAAAACGGTCGTAAGTCACTTGTTTTAGTGACATCGTAACTTTAAATGGTCACTAAGGTGGTAAGTTAAGGACTACCTGTAGTTATGTATTAGATTACAGCAGGGATCCTCAAACCTGGCCACTTTAAGACTTGTGGACTTCAACTCCCAGAATTCCCCAGCCAGCCAAGTCCACAAGTCATAAAGTGGCCAAGTTTGAGGATCCCTGATGTAGATTGTCATAGATTCAGCATACCTAATGCATCCTTGATTAAAGATTATACAAATATATATATATATATATATATACACACTTACAATCTCATAAAATACGCACGACACGGTTTCTTTTCCATCCCTCAAAAGGAAAGTTTTTGACCCAAATTGTCCAGGGGTAACAGCGGAATCCAGAACACCTAAATAATGCAGTGTAATTATTAGTCTGAAAGCTTTTCAGAGTGAAGACAAACCCTCTTCGGTGGCTTTTTGTAATGTGGGGGAAATTTAAAAATAAAAAAATATATGCTTTCAGTATTATCATGTAATCATATTTTATATTTTATAATTATTGTATAATCAATTGCCTGAGTAGATGCTTCGAGTATATAGGGAACATAGAAACCTCAGGTGGAGGAAGGGGGGAGAACAGGAGTTACCATGGGGCCCAGTGTGAGTCACCATCTGGGAATTGTTTTTAAGTACCTTTTGGTACCTGGTACCCTATTGGATCTAACAGGTGTAGAAGATCTCTCTCTAGAATTGATATAGGATAGTAGGGGAGGGATCTTATTAGTATAATGTATTCTGTTTAGGCGCTTCTGATAGATTGTAACCTCCAAAGCCTAAGCCAATGGGGCCATGGGGGAGGGAATGGGGCGTCGCGATAGGATGTATAATAATATATGATTTTGGAATTTGGGGTGTGGTTCAGTGCTTGGCTACATTGCATTGCCTTCCTGAATCCACCACACTTTGCAAACCGTTATTTTTTTAGACTTTGTTGTGAAGTCTAATAAACTTCCTTTCTATTTGTAACTCAGAGTGGATTTCAATTTGTGTATTTTTGTGTCTAACAGTAAGAAGAGACATGGTGGTTTAGAAATGATAATTATGATAGAGGTCCAGATTTAGCACAGGTGAGGGCCTGCCCAGGGCAACACACTGACTGAAGGCTGTATAAGGAGCCTCTCAGCTTTACTACAGCTGACTGCCTCCTGGCTTGTGGAGATAAACATATATTGACAGAAATGGGGATGTGTAAGACGTGCTGCTATTTTTGTAAGCAAGCAGTTGAGAGTGTCACTGGTCCTCGACTTAACGGTCACAATTGGGAGCAGAATCCCCATTGCTAAGCAAGTTGCAAATCTAGACAGCATACTAAAAAGCAGAGAGGTCACCCTACCAAGAAAAGTGCACATAGTCAAGGCCATGGCTTTCCCAGTTGCAATGTATGGCTGTGAAAGTTGGACCGTAAGAAAGGCTGAGCGCCAAAGAATGGAGGCCTTTGAACTCTGGTGCTGGAGAAGACTCCTGCGAGTCCCCTGGACTGCAAGGCAATCCAACCGGTCAGTCCTGGAGGAGATCAACCCTGACTGCTCTTTAGAAGGCCAGATCCTGAAGTGGAAACTCAAATACTTTGGCCACCTAATGAGAAGGAAGGACTCACTGGAGAAGAGCCTGATGCTGGGAAAGATGGAGGGCAAGAGAAGAAGGGGACGACAGAGAATGAGATGGCTGGATGGAGTCACTGAAGCAGGAGGGGTGAGCTTAAATGGACTCCAGAAGATGGTAGAGGACAGGAAGGCCTGGAGGAACCTTGTCCATGGGGTCGCGATGGGTCAGACACAACTTCGCAACTAACAACAACAAAGCAAGTTGCACCTGATTTTGTGACTTTTTTTGCCACGGTTGTTAAGTGAATCCTGCCATTGTTAAGCAGGTCCAGCTTCCCCCATTGACTTCACTGGTCAGGAGCCAGCCGGGTGGGACGGCCGCATATGGCGATCGCGTGACTCCAGGATGCTGTAACCGTGGTAAATAAATAAATCCTAGTTGCCAAGTGAAATGCTGAAGAGGTTGGCTGGAATATTTTAAAAGTAATCGGCTTCTTTGGGATGGTAAGACCAATATTTTGGTATGGAAAAGTGCCCCCACAATCCTGCGCCGAGGTGGCGCAGCAGTTAGGGTGCAGTACTGCAGGCCACTTTAGCTGACTGTGTTCAGCAGGTCAGCGGTTCAAATCTCACGGCTCAAGGTTGACTCAGCCTTCCATCCTTCCGGGGTAGGTAAAATGAGGACCCAGATTGTTGGGGGCAATGTAAATATATATATACATTGCTTACTGGTGTACACCGCTTAGAGAGTGCTTGCACTTAAAGGCGGTATATAAGTCTCATAAATAAATAAATAAATAAATAAATAAATAAATAAATAAATACCAGAGAATACTCACCCAGGACTTCAAATAACAGTGGAGTTTTACCAGCATACTGGCTCCAGTGCTTCATGCTCTCAATGACAGCAGATAAAATTCGGAGAGAATTCTCTTTTTCTTTCCTTTTAGACTGGCCCACCGGCTTTTTCTTTGACACAGGGACAAAAAAAAAAAAAAAAAGAAGAAGAAGAAGACAGATAAGCCGAAGATGATTTCATCATGTCTGAGTTTAAGTGAGAACGTGTCTGTTTACAGCGAGTCCTCGACTTAACGACCACGATGCAGCCCCAAATTTCTGTTTACAGTAGCAGCCAAAATTGTGGAAACCTTTTGGGAAAAGTGTACAGTAGAAATGACACCTTTTGGTTAAGTTTCCACCCATTTTTTTTTCCTAATTTCTTTATAACTGTAGCCTTGTTCACTTGATAATGCTATTTGACAACTCTTTGCACCATGACTTTAATTTTATTACGTTTTACAAGCTCGCACAATGAAAGAACACAAAAAACCCAACCAACTTGATAGCCATCACATAACACACTGACAAATGTCCTCCTCTCGGCTTCAATACATGACAGCAATGACTGAATCCTACTGTGATCTGATTGGCTCATGGCCAAAACAAGATGACGCCCGATTGGCTCTCTAAACACTCACACTCATTGGCTACCATCAGGTGAAGGAAAGCTACCTGAGACCAACCTGAGCAAGTTGTGCTTCCTTTTTCTGGTTATTTGGCTACAACTTTTCATACGATACAGTACGGATAATTGAAAAAGCTTTGTTGCATTACATTCTTGATTAAATGATCTTTCCATTGATATGTAATTTTATGGTATTCCCCCCCCAAAATTGGTGTTATTAGCCATCAAACCTCAAAAATACACTTTTCCTAAAAGGTTTCCACAATTTTGGCCACTGCTGTATTTATTGAGTTTTGCCCCATTTTATGGTTTTCCTTGCCCTGGTTATTAAGCGAATGATTGCAGTTGTTAAGTTAGTAACACGGTGGCTTTGTTAAGTGGCTTTGCTTGTCAGAAGATTACAAAAGTTGATTTATAGGACCCCGGGACATTGCAACCATCATAAGTACATGCCAGTTGCCAAGTGTCTGGATTTTGATCACGTGATTACGGGGATGCTGCAACGGTGATCAGTGTGAAAAATGGTTCTAAGTCACTTTTTTTCAAGTATTAATACCACTCTACTATGCCTTGGTAAGGCCACACTTGGAATACAGCATCCAGTTTTGGTCACCGCGATGTAAAAAAGATGTTGAGACTCTAGAACAGCAGTTCTCAATCTGTGAGTCGGGACCCCATTTGGGGTCGAACGACCATTTCACGGGGGTCGCCAAACAACGCAGTCCGCCATTTTTTTCCCCCTTTTCCTTAGCTGTGCTACTCCCTTTGATTCTATTGGCTTTTGAAAGCCAATAGAATAGACTCTCTTGAACAGAGTCTAATTCTATTGGCTTTCAAAAGCCAATAGGAATTGTCCAGGCTGTCTCTGCCCTGCTGAGCCCGCCAAAAGTCCCATTCTGCAAACGGTGCTGCACCAGTTGAGTAGCCCTCGACTTACGACCGGTTGGGGGTCACGGCATTAAAAAGGTTGAGAACCACTGCTCTAGAAAGAGTACAGAGAAGAGCAACAATGATGATTAGGGGACCGGAGGCTAAAACATATAAGGAACGGTTGCTGGAATTGGGTCTGTATCATTTAACGAAGAGAAGGACAAGGGGGGACATGATAGCAGTATTCCAATACCTCAGGGGCTGCCCCAAAGAAAAGGGAGTCAAGCTATTCTCCAAAGCGCCTGAAAGCAGGACAAGAAGCAACGGGTGGAAACTAACCAAGGAGAGAAGCAACCTAGAACTAAGGAGAAACTTCTTGACAGTTAGAACAATTAATCAGTGGAACAACCTGCCTCCAAGAAGCTGTGAATGCTCCAACACTGGAAGTTTTTAAGAAGAGACTGGACAGCCATTTGTCTAAAATGGTATAGGGTTTCCTGCCTGAGCAGGGGGTTGGACTAGATGACCTCCAAGGTCCCTTCCAACTTTATTATTATTATTATTAAGGATCACTGAATGAACTGTTGTAAGTCGAGAACTATCTATATAAGTCACCAAAGGCTTCAAGCGACTATTTTTCAGTTTGGAAAATAAGTAGGTTCGGAAGGAGATTTCCCCAACGTCCTTTATAAAAATATATGCATGCATGAATTTTTTTTACCTGAATCGTTTGGCTCTTTTGCAAATTGTCAGCTTTTTCCTTGAGGGCGTTTTGTTGGGAAGGGCTGGGCTTAAATGTGTAGGAGGGATCCTGGGTCTGCAGGTTTCTGAATCGGGCTGTTGGTACCACAGGCCACTGGGAAACAGCTGGATCCCAATCTTCTGCCGCATCTGTCCTGCTTCTCTCCGATGCCTGTGGCAGGGCTGCTGGCTTCTGGTACATGTGTCCAGGCTTCATCCAATAACTGGGGTGGTCGTCCAGCTGTGAAAGCTTTTTGTTCTCCGTTCTGTTGCCAAAAGCTGGGAAGTCATTTCTTTTCCAAACATTAGTGCTTTCCTCCTGCCTGGAGTGAAATAAGACTAATGTTATCTCTCTGTCTTTTTACCTCGCTTGACAAATTTCTCACGGAAATTTGGGGCTCAGTTGTGGCCGTAAGTTGAGGACTACCTGTATTATGTAAAAGGGCTCCCAGGATCCTTTGGATACTCCTTATGCTCTTTGCTGAATCCCCAAATATATGACAATCCTCCCTGTCTTTATTAAGATAGGTAAGGGTTGGGAGGGGTGGGGTGGCGCTAGGCAGGGGTAGGCAACCTTGGCTCTTTTATGATTCGTGGACTTCAATTCCCAGAATTCCTGAACCAGCATGGGGGAACTATGGCCTCTTTATGACTGGTGGACTTCAACTCCCAGAATTCCTGAATCAGCCACGCTGAGGGGAAAGGGAGAGGTTTCCAAGTTGAGCCAGGCTGGCTCAGGAATTCTGGGAGTTGAAGTCCACGAGTCATAAAAGAGCCAAGGTTGCCTACCCCTGATCTAACCCATCAGAATCATCCGGGATTTTATTTCCCTAAATCAGTGTTTCTCAACCTTGGCGAGTTTAAGAGGGGTGGACTTCAACTCCCAGAATTCCTGAGCCAGCATGGGGAACTATGGCCCTTTTATAGCTTGTGGACTTCAACTCCCAGAATTCCTGAGCCAGCAGTTATGGCCCCTTTATGACTCGTGGACTTCAGCTCCCAGAATTCCTGAGCCAGCATGGGAGTTATGGCCCCTTTATGACTCGTGGACTTCAACTCCCAGAATTCCTGAGCCAGTCATGCTGAGGGAAAAGGGAGAGTTTCCAAGCTGAGCCATGCTGGTTCAGGAATTCTGGGAGTTGAAGTCCACAAGTCATAAAAGAGCCATGGTTCCCCACCCATCCTAGATGGTCTTAAAGTAGACATCACAGGAACCAAAGAGACAAGGAATCAACTATTAATTAGCCAGCTCCGCATAGTTCCCCCATGCTGGCTCAGGAATTCTGGGAGTTGAAGTCCACCAGTCATGAAGGGACCATAGTTCCCCCATGCTGGCTCAGAAAGTCTGGGAGTTGAGGTCTACAAGTCGTAAAAGAGCCAAGGTTGCCTACCCTTGCGCTAGTGGTAGCACATAGAACAAGCTGCCATAAAAATAGAATCAAAGGGGCAGGAGGGTAGAATTGCCATGGGCTGGGTGAAGAGGTCTGCATTGGGGTTCAAATGCTCTCTCTGTCTATACCAGTGCTTCTCAATTATTTTCTGTCATGCCCCCCTAGGAAGAAGAAAACATTTTGCGCCCCCCCCCCGCGCGACTGTCTATCCAATCGGGTCTTTTGCGTGTGTCACGTGCGTCCAATATGACAGTATTTGCCGAGGTCAAACGAGCCCCCCTTTATGGAGCCTCGCGCCCCCCCGGGGGGCGCGCCCCACTATTTGAGAAGCACTGGTCTATACCGACAGCTCTCCCTCCTACCCAGTTTGTAAGGTTTTTTTTTTTCCCCTCCCTGTCATTTCTGGCAAAAGGCCTGATCTGAGGATTAAAAGCAATCGGAAGAGGCACAAAGGCAGATCGGACATAAAAGGATGCGGTTCCAGAAGCTCACAAACAATGACCTCAACTGTGCATTGACGTTCCTTTTGGAGAATATCTTGTCACCCACCTCCAGTTGCTTCCTGTATGAGGCATTGTCGGCTTTGATGTGTGTTGTTGCCTCAACAAAGAAGATGGCATAACAAGCTCTGTTGGGCTGTGGAGAAAAGGTTTGGTCATTACCACAAATGAAGAAGATTAAAGCATACATACAGGATACAAGCAGCCCTTGACTTACGTCCACCACGGAGCCCATCGCTTCCGTTGCTATGCAAGGCGGTCATTAAGTGGGTTTTGCCCCCATTTTATAATCTTTCTTGCTAAGTGAATCACTGCAGTTTTTAAAATGAGTAAAACAGTTGAAATGAGCCGAGGTGGCGCAGCAGTTAGAGTGTAGTACTACAGGCCACTTTAGCTGACTGTGTTCAGCAGGTCAGCGGTTCAAATCTCACCGGCTCAAGGTTGACTCAGCCTTCCATCCTTCCGGGGTAGGTAAAATGAGGACCCAGATTGTTGGGGGCAATGTAAATATATATATACATTGCTTACTGGTGTACACCGCTTAGAGAGTGCTTGCACTTAAAGCGGTATATAAGTCTCATAAATAAACCTGGCTTCCCCATCGATTTTGCTTGTCAAAGGGTCGCAAAAGGCGATCAAGTGATCCTGGGACACTGCAGCCGTCACAAATATGAGTCAGTTGCCAAGCGTCTGAATTTTGATCACATGACCACAATGATGCTGCGACGGTTGTAAGTATGAGAGATGTCATAGGTCATAAGTATGAGAAATGGTCATAGATTTTTTTCAGTGCTGTTGTAACTTTGAATGGTCACTAAATGAACGGTTGTAAGTCAAGGACTCTCTGTAGCCATACAGTATTGATTTCCATAACCAGGAAATGCATTTGATTTCAGGGATATAAAGAGGTGGGACCTACTTACTCGGTGCCTACTGTTTTCTGCAGTTGGATCGGTTCTGGCTTCTCAGTTTCCCATCCGAAATCTTGAAAAAAGTCAAAGGACACAGAATGATCAGTTTGAATCCAGGTCCTGATCCAATATTAAGAAAGAAAATGCGGAATGTGTTATATGTGCATTGTTAACATTCCTTGTGACGTAATGCTCCACTTCTGAATTTTTGATTACCGTACCTGAGTTTTGAGGCGGTATTTCTTCATTTCGTTAACTTTTAAGATATGTGGGCTTCAACTCCTGGGATTCCCCAGTCAGTAGGGCTAGGGAATTCTGGGAGTTGAAGTCCATACATCTTAAAGCTGCTGATGTTGCAAAACATTGCTTTAAGGGAATAGATCCATTGCTGGTGTCTCTGCTTTATGCTTTATTCTATTTCCAGACAGCCTTATCTGCCATCCAGGTTTTGGCAGATTTATTCATAAGTGATTCCTTTAGTAATAGTAATAGTAGTAAAGTTGGAAGGGACCTGGGAGGTCATCTAGTCCAACCCCCTGCTCAGGCAGGAAACCCTAGACCAGTGGTTCTCAACCTGTGGGTCGGGACCCCATTTGGGGTCGAACGACCATTTCATGGGGGTCGCCAAACCATGCTGTCCACCATTTTGTTCCCTTTTCCCTAGCTGTCCTACTCCCTCTTATTGGTGGCCACACCCACTTGGGGGTCACCACAACATGGGGAACTGTATTATGGGGTCACGGCATTAGAAAGGTTGAGAACCACTGCCCTAGACCATTTCGGACAAGTGGCTGTCCAGTCTCTTCTTAAAAACTTCCAGTGTTGGAGCATTTACTGCTTCTGGAGGCAGGCTGTTCCGCTGATTAATTGTTCTCACTGTAAGGAAGTTTCTCCTTAGTTCTAGGTTGCTTCTCTCCTTGATTAGTTTCCATTAGTTTAATGCAGCTGTCTCCAATCTGAAGAGCTTCAGAGAAGATGTGACTGTAACGATGAGAATTCCCAATCCAAAGGGATAAACCATATGGAGCAGGAGTTTTCAAACTTGGCCCTTTTATGACTTGTGGACTTCAACTCCCAGAATTCCTCCACCAGGCACGCTGATCTGGAGGGTAGTTGGATGGGAAAGGATGGTCTAACTTTTAAAGGCCTCTTACGATGAAATGTTTTACTGCAGAGGTCCCCAACCTTTTGGGCACCAGGGACTGCTTACATGAAGAGAGTTTTTTCCGTGGATCGGAGGGGACGTGGTTTGGTGCGCTGCCTGCATCCTGTAGATGGGGATGGGGCATGCTGTGGCCTGGTACTGGTCCACGGACCAGGGGTTGGTGACCCCTGTTTTACTGGATCAGATTTAAAATTCTAGATACGAATTGCATCTTCTCCACGGCTAGCCACTCAATTAAACTTTACATTACAACAATAATATGATGCTGATCATAGCAGCAATAGGGTATGTCTCTAGTTGGTGAAAAGAAAGACTAGGGGGTGATAGGAAAGCAGGCTTCCAATATCTGAGGGGCTGCCATAAAGAAGAAGGGGGTCAAACTATTCTCTAAAGGACCAGAAGGCAGGACAAGAAGCAACGGGTGGAAACTAATCAAGGAGAGAAGCAACCTGGAATTAAGGAGAAACTTCCTAACAGAGAGGACAATTAACCAGTGGAACAGCTTGCCTCCAAAAGTTGTGGGTGCTCCATCATTGGTGGCTTTTAAGAAGAGACTGGACAACTATTTGTCTGGAATGGTGTAGGGCAGTGACCCCCAACTTTTTGGCCACCAGGGACTAGTTCCATGGAGAGACTTTTTCCACGGACTGCAGGGGGTGCGGTTACATGTGCTGCTTGCATCCCTGGATGGGGTTTCACTTGTTTGGGTGGCCTGGTTTCTGGCATGCTACAGACCGGTGACGGTCCACAGACCTGGGGTTGGGGACCCCCAGTATAGGGTCTTCTGCTCAAGCAGGAGATTGAATTATGTCCCTTATTATGTCCCTTATGTCCCCCTTATTCTGTATTTCATATTGTTTACCCCCAGCTTCTGGAAATTGGAAAAAAAAAACTGCCTGTAAACATGGCTAATAACTCATGATAGACTCAGCCCTCTATCTAAATAAAGCTCTTTTATAAGATGATACTCGTATAATCTTTCAGTTCTAATTTTAATTCAAGGCATGGATGGGATGTGAGTAAATGTCCTTTTGGAAAAAGCTGGGTTAGCGGTGATATTTATGGTTATCCTATTATACATTTACATTTTTCAGATATGCAATGGTAGAGACACGAGGCAAATGCCAGGTAGAAACTTTTCACTTTTCCCTTTCCCTCTCTTTCAATAAGAATAGAACTAATTATTATTCCAATAATTAATTCTGGCAGAAATATCCATAGACGGCTTTTCAAGGATAAAGAAAATGATAAATTTCTCTCTTTTTTTACATCAATACGAAAGCACATTAAAGAACATTCCTTCCTGTAATCTTAACCGTTCAAAAGGCAGAAAAAAGTGTGAAGTTACAAGAGTTATAATTTAAATGCTAGGGCAGTGGTGGTGAACCTATGGTACGGGTGCCAGAGGCGGTACTCAGAGCCCTCTCTGTGGGCACGTGTGCCGTCGCCCCAGTCCTAGGCCTTCAGCTGGGTTTTATAAAACCTTTTCGCTTTAGGCCTCTGCTGCCGTGTGCAAAAAAAAAAAAAAAGGTTCAATCAATCAGTCAATTTCAACTTCTCGCGAGAAAAAAAAGATCTCGCAAAGTTGGAATTGATTGATTGAACTTTTTAGTCCCACCCAGTCTGCTGTTATCACCGCAGCCACGCCCACCCAGGGGGCCACACCCACCCAATGGGCCACACCCACCTAATGGGCCACACCCACCCGGCACCCGATGATGCATAAGTGGGTTTTAGGTTGCAGTTTGGGCACTCGGTCTCTAAAAGGTTTGCCATCACTGTGCTAGGGATTTATTTTGCTGGGTCCCGAAATTTTAACCCGAGGCTAGAAAAATATTTTTTTTTGCAATAAAAGTGTATTTCCAAAAAATGTGCAGTCCACCCCTCACTCACCTGCGAGCATGGCCGAGAAATTGAATTGATCAGCTGAATTGTTACTGCTTAGGTCATTTTTAAGCGGGTTTGATGTCAGAGGTTGCTTGGTCCTTTTCTTCTGATTGAAAAGAGGAACCGGAAGGCAGCCTACGATTTGAAGTGGCAACATAAAAAACACAATTATTAAATTGCTAATGCTTTTGGTGCAATAATATATACAGGTAGCCCTTGACTTACAACGGCTCGTTTAGTGTTCAAAGTTAAATGTCTGTGGAGATTCTCAGTCGTCCAGGTCCATCGTTATCCCAAAGGTGCTTTTTTCAAGAGGCAACTAAAATTTCTTGTTTTTCTTTGAAGACGTTTCGCTTCTCCTCCCAGAAACTTCTTCAGCTCTGACTGGAGGGCAGGGAATGGTGTTCAAGAGTGAAGGGACACAGGGCAGAAAACGTCCTGCAGAAAGCACAGCTCCACAACACACGCAGTCCTTGCAGCAGGTCCAAGAAGGCTCCACACCCATTTGCACCACTCGGGTGACCCCGAGGACACAGGTGGCCTCAAGGACTCTCCAAAAGAAGGCAAACGACCAGCTGTCTGCAAGGAGTATAAATCCTTCCCTCCCCCACCAGCCAGTCAGAGCTGAAGAAGCTTCTGGGATGAGAAGCAAAACATTTTCGAAGAAAAACAGTTGCCTCCTGGAAAAGCACCTTTGGTTCAAAGTTATAATGGCTCTGAAAAAAGTGACTTAGTGACCGTTTTTCACACTTATGAACATTGCAACATCCTCATGTGATCACAATCCAGATGCTTGGCAACCGACTCATATTTATGACGGGTTGTACTGTCCCAGGGTCAGGTCATCCCATTTTGCAACCTTCTGACAAGCAAGGTCCACGGGGAAGGCAGATTCGCTTAACAACGGCGTTACCAAACTGAACAACCGCAGTGATTTCCTTAAGAACGGTGGCAAGCTAGGTCGTATAACGGGACACAGAACTCATTTAACAGCTGTCTTGCTTGGCAACAGCAATTTTGGGCTCAGCTGTTAATGTGGAATAATGAACAATCACTAGAATAATGATGTGTCTGCATAATTACTGGAATAGTGCTGTGTTAGTAGTATGTGACTAACCTAATGCGCATTGCACTTGGATACAATGTATGTAGCAAACTCTCCATTGTATACCAGTGAGAAACGAACCTATTGTATTACAATGTGTATTTCAATGTGTATTCCTTTGTTCCTGAGGGGGAAAAAAAGGGAAGGTATAAAACTGAAGTCTGAACCCGCCCTTGGGATTGAGAATTAATTGTTGCTATTGCTTCTGAACCTGCACAATAAATCTCTCTGCTAAAACCCTCTGGAATTCGTAAGAGTCCTTTCGTTTTCCACAAGACTGTGGTCGTAAATTGAGGACTACCTGTATATTCAGAAGCACGCATCCTGGCATCCCAATGTGCAATTTGCATGAATGTGGCAGTGGTGTGACAGGGACACACTGCAGCTCATTCATCGGAAAGGAGTAGATCCCTGTTTGGAGAACTGCTCTGCATTTGGAATCTCGTCCATTCAGGAGATACAAAAGGATCTGAATGGAACTCTTTGTAGCATTTCATTAAAACATTTGGAATCCGAACAAATTGATTTAATAATAATAATAATAATAAAGTTGGAAGGGACCTTGGAGGTCATCTAGTCCAACCCCCTGCTCAGGCAGGAAACCCTATACCATTTTGGACAAATGGCTGTCCAGTCTCTTCCTAAAAACCTCCAGTGTTGGAGCATTCACCGCTTCTGGAGGCAGGTTGTTCCACTGGTTCATTGTTCTAACTGTCAGGAAGTTTCTCCTTAGTTCTAGGTTGCTTCTCTCCTTGATCAGTTTCCATCCGTTGCTTCTTGTCCTGCCTTCAGGCGCTTTGGAGAATAGCTTGACTCCCTCTTCTTTGGGGCAACCCCTGAGATACTGGAAGACTGCTATTGTGTCGCCCCTCGTCCTTCTCGTCATTAAACTAGACATTCCCAATTCCTGCAACTGTTTCTTCTATGTTTTAGCCTCCAGTCCCCTAATCATCTTTGTTGCTCTTCTCTGTACTCTTTTCTAGAGTCTCAACATCTTTTTTACATCGTGGTGATCAAAACTGGATGCCGTATTCCAAGTGTTTGTTTATATATATATCTGCCTAATTTATCATTTCTGTCTGACCTTGACTAAAGATGACTAAAGCCTCCTCGCTCAGTGGAACTCTATACTTCCCATGCTACCAATTCAATAGTATCAGTATTATTAATGTCTATTGAGAAGGTGTCCATTCTGGTTGTCATTTTTGCCACCAGGCAAAAATCTCTTTCTTATCTGCCTGGGGCATTTTCAACACCCTCCATAATTATTCTCATTGCTGATTTACAGTTTGGTCACGTTTTATTAGCGGGTTGTTGTCCATTTGGGTTTATTACGTTGTTTTATTGCTGATACTGTTGTAGCTGTAATTGTTGTTATTCCCCTCAAGGTATCCTGGGAATTTGTGCTGAAAATCCCTTTCTCCCATCAATCAACCCACACAAAGTGAAGTTGTTTTTAGGGATGGCACAAAGACCGTGATCCCTTGTCTACGAATGTGTCTGATAGTCATTGCACAAGGGAAAAATGAGAGGAGGGGAGAGATAATAGTAGGGTGGAAGAAATGGGGGGGGGGGAAAAAAATCCTCTGTGAATTTTTCATAAAGGTTTGTTATAATGGCTAAGGCTCTCCATTTTTTAACATCTTCCCTTCTGCTTTCCGGCATATTCTAATAACCAAACAGTTATGGTTAGTTCGTCATTAATATGGATCAATGCATGAAATCTACTCAGAAAACGTTTGTTATTCCACCCATGAAAAATATGATAAAATAAGAATTGAGCACATCGCTTTTCTGGATTACACAGTCACCCGTGTAAGGAGAGTAAATTCTGATGGGGCATCCCCTAAAAGGTGTGTATGTATGTGGGAAGGTGTTAAAAAAGGTAAAATGGTGATTGAAGTCCCAGCCCCCTTTGTATGTGTGTTGCAAAGATAAAAAAAAAAAAGAGTCTGGCTTTTAATGATACAGTCGCAGCCACTATTTTGACTTTTTGATGCTCCCCATGGATGCCCTGCAACTGGGGAGAGATTTAACACAATTTAAAAACCGTGTGCAGCGTGTTTATCTGTACTTCTTCTCCCAGGGAAAATTAAGTATAGGAAGAGGAGAATGGGAGAAATACAGGTAATTCTCAACTTACAACCATTCATTTAGTGACTTCCATAGTTACAACGCCATTGGAAAAAAACGACTTATGACCAATCCTCATTGTTACAACTATTGCAACATCCCCAGGGTCAGATGATCAAAATTTGGGTGCTTGGCAACTGGGATGTATTTATAGCAGTGGCAGCATCCCATTTGTGACCTTCCCAGCTAGCTTCCAACAAGCAAAGTCAGTGGGGAAGCTGAATTCACTTAAGAACCATGTGATTCACTTAACAACTGCAATGATTCGCTTAACAACTGCAGTGAACCATTACAGCCATGGCAAAAAAAGATCGTAAAATCAGACAGAAGCGATGAAAATGAATGAAAATTCTGTTCTCAGTTGTGGCCATAAATCCAGGACTATTTGCATTACAGAACTGTCCCCTGACTGAACAGGATGCAACAGGGGAGGTGTTTGATCCCCTTTTGCATGCACTGCAACCTAAAGCCTTAAATAACATTGCTCATTCCACTCATTTTGCTGGTCATTGGTTGGAAATTATAATAACTCTTTCGAACAAAAACAATTAGGGGACTGAAGGCTAACACTTATAAAGAACGGTTGTCGGAATTGGGTATTAATAAAAAGAAGGACTGGGGTGACAGGATAGCAGTGTTCCAATATCTCAGGGGTTGCCACAAAGAAGGGAGGGGGGTCAAGCTATTCTCCAAAGCCCTTGAAGGCAGGACAAGAAGCAACGGATGGAAACTGATCAAGGAGAGAAGCAACCTGGAAATTATGAGAAATTTCCTGACAGTAAGAACAATCAACCAATGGAACAGACTGCCTTCAGATGTTGTTGGTACTTTATCACTGGAGGCTTTCAAGAAGAGATTGGCCTGACATCTGTCAGAAATGGTGTAGGGACTCCTGCTTGGAAAGGGGGTTGGACTAGATGACCTACAGGATCCCTTCCAGCTCTGTTATTCTATTCTATTCTATTCTATTCTATTCTATTCTATTTTATTCTACTCTATTCTATTCTATTCTCAATAAATATTCTATTCTATTGTCAATAATATTCTATATTCTCAATAAATATTCTATTCTATTCTATTCTATTCTATTCTATTCTATTCTATTCTAATCTATTCCACTCTATTCTATTCTATTCTCAATAAATATTCTATTCTATTGTCAATAATATTCTATATTCTCAATATTCTATTCTATTCTATTCTATTCTATTCTATTCTATTCTATTCTCTTCTCTACTCTACTCTACTCTATTCTATCCTGTAATTCTATTCTATTCTATTCTATTCTATTCTATTCTATTCTATTCTATTCTATTCTATTCTATTCTATTCTCAAAGAGAGAAGCAACCTAGAACTAAGGAGAAATTTCAAGACAATGAGAACAATTAACCAGTGGAACAACCTGCCTCTAGAAGTTGTGAATGCTCTAACACTGGAAGTTCTTAAGAAGAGATTGGACAACTATTTGTCTGAAATGGTGTAGGGCAGTGATGGTGAACCTTTTAGAGACCGATTGCCCAAACTACAACCCAAAACCCACTTATGCATCATCGGGTGCCGGGTGTGTGTGGCCTATTGGCTGGGCGTGGCTGCAGTGGTAACGTTAGATTGGGTGGAACTAAAAAGTTCAATCAATCAATCAATTCCAACTTTGCAAGATCTTTTTTTTTCCCGTGAGAAGTTGAAATTAACTGATTGATTGAACCTTTTTTTTTTTTTTTTGCACACAGCGGCAGAGGCCTAAAATGAAAAGGTTTTATAAAACCCAGTTGAAGGCCTAGGACTGGGGCGACAGTGCGTGTGCCCACAGAGAGGGCTCTGAGTGCCGCCTCTGGCACCCGTGCCATAGTTTTGCCACCACTGGTATAGGGTTTCCTGCCTGAGCAGAGGGTTGGACTAGAACAGAGGTCTTCAAACTTGGCCCTTTTATGACTTGTGGACTTCAACTCCCAGAATCCCTCAGCCAGCATGCCTGGCTGAGGAATTCTGGGAGTTGAAGTCCACAAGTCATAAAAGGGCCAAGTTTGAAAACCCCTGGACTAGAAGACCTCAAAGGTCCCTTCCAACTATGTTATCCTGAATTCCACCCCAATAAAAGATGGATACCTGCTGTACTACGCATCAAAGAACTGTCAGTGAAATTCCTCTTCATGTTTTTATTTCTAGATAACAGCACCTGAAAAAAAAAACGCAATTGCATTTTAAGTTCCTACTATAGACCTCTCCTGCACACACTGAGTTGCCATTATCTAAAAATACTGAATCTAGGATTATTTAATCATGCAATCCTATTCTGCTCTCGACAATATTGTGGGAATAAAGCGATTCTAGATATTTCAGTGGGGAAACTAATGGCAGTTGCCACCAAATTAAAACTTTTTGATTTGTTTTCTTTAGATTTCTTCCAATCTGCACCCTCTTGTCAACTTTTGGAGCACCAAAGACATGAAAATATTCAGCAATATGCTGTAGGAAAAGCTCATAGCCCTTTTTAAATGTCTTGATTTTTTTTTTAACCTTTTTATTAGTTTAATTAATAATTTAGTGACTACATTATATTGTTTTGCTAATACAGTTGTACAAAACTATTTTTGTCTGTTCACAACATAAACATAATGGCTTTTTTAAAAACAACATGATTCGTTTTCATAGCAAGAGTGGGGCTTTTATGGGATCAATAATTTCAATATTAAAGTGTTCTTCTCCTAAAAGAAACGGGTGAGGAGAAGAAATCTGCTGGTCTCTAGAGCCTAAAATACTTTAGATACTCTTCTGGAAAAAAAGCCAAACATTTTCCATTTAGAGAACTTAAAATTTAAAACATCCTTTTAAATGGGTGGTATTACCTCTTTGAACAGTGCTGAAGTACATGTGATTAAACTTTTTTTTTAAAAAAAGCTGTTATTACAGAATGAAGTTATTTATTTATTTTGCTATAAAATATATTATATATATATATATAATTTCAATATCTTAGCTAAATAATATACATCGTATGCATACATACATACATATATAATATGCATATAAAATATATATAATTGCAGTTTTATATAACTATGAGGTAAGCTACTCAGAAGAAACTAAAATAACAGACAGATATTAGATCGCTCATAACGATAATGATAGATAATAGATAATGATAGTAATGAGGAACAGGTAATTTAATAGATAATAAAAGACAATGAACGATGGATGATATATAGATTAAAGATCAAGATAGATGATTGATCATTATTAATGATCAATGATAGAGTCTCTCTAATAGGAAGATTGGCGATAACTAAATTTGACAAATAAATACCGTAAATAAAAATAAAATATATAATGATAAACAAATGATAATGGTAAAAATAATGAGAGATGGATATAAAGATGGATGGATGGATGACAGATGACAGACAGACAGACAGGTAATAGCTAGTCATGATAGATTTTTGTTTATTTTATTTATCAAGTTTTAAGTGATTGAGAAATGAGAAATAATCGATTTATCGATAGATAGATAGAAGATAGATTGAGTTATACTTTTTATTTTATTTATCAAATTTTGAAACTGCCAATCTCCCTCACAAAAGGGCTCTGTAGTTACTATGGATAGAGAGAAGCACAGACAGAATTGTATTTTAACAAAACCTGTAAACCTAGTCCCCATGATTTATAAGCCACAATTGTTGGCTTTGCAGCCTGAACCCAGTTCTGGTTTCCTTGTCCAACCATGGTTAATCAACACCAGAGATGGAAGCCTCTGGTTCAGGTACATGTAAAAATGGTGGAAAGAGCCACAAATTATCACAGCTTAGAGTTTGGAGGGAGAAATGTCAAGAAAAATCTGACCCTTTATCGATTTAAGGATAATTTTAGCTTTCTTGACTGTCTGTCTCTTTGCTTCAGATCCTGTCAAGCTCTCCTCACACGGGCTTATCTGAAATAATCCCAGTAATGTAAATGTTTTGCTTTTGAAAATAAAAATGGTTGGGGCAGGTGACAAGCTTTGCTTTCCTTTCTGAGAGGAAAGTCTAAATCTGAACTGATCAGGAAGAAGAAGAAGGGTGGTCCAGGAGGGGAAGGAGCCAAGATGGATGGCAGGGAAGGAGGGAAAATGGCGGGAAAATGGTGCCACGGCGGGGGGGGGAGATACGCAAATATTTTTCACTCTTTTTCTATCTTTCGAGTTTGGTGCACCACCCAGAGTCCACAGGAGTCAGACGGTCAATAAATTTAAATAAATAAATGTTGTTGATGATGGTGGTGATGGTGATGAAACCGTCCTGGGGACATGAGGGGCCTCAAGGTAGGAATGGCGGGATTGGTGGGGTGAGGAAGAAGAAGAAAGAAAAAATGAGGAAGGACTCCTGTTTCCTCAGGCTCTGGGAGGAAGAGGCTATTGAGGAGTAAAATGGCAGAGGGGGAGGAGGAAGAAGAGAAAAAGAGAGAGAGAGAAAAAAAAAGAGAAAGAAAGAAAGAAAGAAAGAAGAAAGAAGAAAGAAAGAAAGAAAGAAAGAAAGAGAACAAGGAAGGAAGGAAGGAAGGAAGGAAGAGAAAATAGGAAGGAATGAAAGAAGGAAGGAAACAAGGAAGGAAGGAGAAAGAAAGAAAGAGAAAGAAAGAAAGAAAGAGAAAGAAAGAAAGAAAGAAAGAAAGAGAAAGAAAGAAAACAGGAAGGAAAGAAGGAAGGGAAGGAAGGAAAACAGGAAGGAAGGAAGAAAAGGAAGGAAACAAGAAGGAGAAAGAAAGAAAGAAAGAAAGAAAGAAAGAAAGAAAGAAAGAAAGAAAAAGAAAGAGAAGAGCGAGGGAGGGAGGAAAGAAAAAGAAAGAACAAAAGAAAGAAAGAGAAAAGGAAGGAAGGAAAGGAGGAAAGAAGGAAAGGAAGGAAACAAGGAAGGAAGGAGAAAAAGAAAGAAAGAAAGAGAAGAAGGAGGAAGGAAGGAAAAAAGAAAGAAAGAGAAATCAGGAAGGAAGGAAAGGAGGAAAGAAGGAAAGGAAGGAAGGAAACAAGGAAGGAAGGAGAAAAAGAAAGAAAGAAAGAAAGAAAGAAAGAAAGAAAGAAAGAAAGAACAGGAAGGAAGGAAAGGAAAGAAGGAAAGGAAGGAAGGAAACAAGGAAGGAAGGAGAAAGAAAGAAAGAAAGAAAGAAAGAAAGAAAGAAAGAAAGAAAGAAAAAGAAAGAGAAGAGGGAGGGAAGAAGGAAAGAAAAAGAAAGAAAGGAAGGAAGGAAACAGGAAGGAAGGAAAAGGAAAGAAGGAAGATAGAAGAAAGAAAGAGGAAGGAAGGGAAAAGGAAAGGAAAAAGGAAGGAAAGAAGGATGAAGAAGGAAGAGAAGAAAATAAACGATCTGCAAAGGAAGAAAAACAATGGCGTCAACGGGGGCCAAATGTGGCCCCGTAATCTCAGCTTGTTTGCTTTGGGCCCCCAGAGAGGATTCGCCAAGGAGGATGGTGGCGAAAGGAACTCCAGAGGGGACTGTCCAGCAATGTGGACACTAAGCAGGACACCAATTGAAGGGAACTCTGTGCCACAAGAATGCTTATTTGGGTTTGAATCCAAGCATTCTGGTTTGCACATCCTGGCTTACGCTTGGCAGACTGGGTGATAAACTGTGACGATGTCATATGGGTGACGTCATAGCCGACAACAGGATTCAGCTCATGTTCACTTTTCTCTTTTTTCAACATTCACGTTATGTGACCATTAATGTCACAACACAGGCGATGTCATTTGGTCTCAGCATAGTTCAGGCCAGGTTAAACAAACCACCAATACTCCTCCACTTACAACTTTTCGTTTAGTGACTGTTCAAAGTCACAACAGTACTGAATAAAGTGACTCAGGTCCGTTTTTCATACTTACGACCGTTGCTGTGTCCCGGGGCTTACATGATCCCTTTTGTGACCTCCTGACAAGCAGTCAATTGGGAAGCCAGATCCACTTAGCAACCATGTTATTAACTCAACAACTGCAGTGATTCACTTAACAACTTAGGCAAGAAAGGTTGTAAAATGGGACAAAAGTCACTTAACAAATGTCTCACTTAGCGACAGAAATTTTGGCCTCCGTTGTGATCGTAAGTCAAGGACTACCTGTATTCTTAAAACGAGAGGCAATTTTTTTTTCTAGGAGTGCTAAAAAACAAAAGAAACAAATCTCTTAGTCCTTTTTTTGCCCACTTACATACATTCTGCATGGGGCTTCTAGCAATATTTTGTCACTGGGCGAAAGTTTGCAAAACTTGTCCATCTGAACTTTTCCTGGCGATGGAGCTCCAAATGCAGGCTGGGAATTGAGTTTTTCTGGGAAGCAGGGTTTTTTTTCTTCAGTGTTTCTCTTAGTAACTTTAAGATGGGTGGACTTCAAATCCCAAAAGTCCCTAGCCAGCATGCTCTAAGATGGGTGGACAACTCCCAGAATTCCCCCTCCACTTAAATTTGCCAAGATAAACACTGATTTATTTGACAGTCTGGTGAGTCGTGTCTGGATTCCTGTCCATGCAATTTCGATCTTTTTTTAAAATTTGAGACAGTCCAAAATTTTGATTTTTTTTTTTTAATTTGAGACAGTCCACTGTGCATCTTTCAGAGGCAGGCTGTAAAACCTACTACTCCTTCTTGGTTCATTTTACCTCTTTTCTTTATGCATTTTGGACCAGAAAAGATGCCTGCCTCCCCTCTAATAATAATAATATTAATAAAGTTGGAAGGACCTTGGAGGTCATCTAGTCCAACCCCCTGCTCAGGCAGGAAACCCTATACCATTTCGGACAAATGGCTGTCCAGTCTCTTCTTAAAAACTTCCAGTGTTTGAGCATTCACAGCTCCTGGCGGCAGGTTGTTAATAATAATAAAATAAAGTTGGAAGGGACCTTGGAGGTCATCTAGCTCAACCCCCTGCTCAGTGTTGGAGCATTCACAGCTTCTGGAGGCAGGTTGTTCCACTGTTAATTGTTCTCACTGTCAGGAAGTTTCTCCTTAGTTCCAGGTTGCTTCTCTCCTGGATGAGTTTCCATCCGTTGCTTCTTGTCCTGCCCTCAGGCGCTTTGGAGAATAGCTTGGCTCCCTCTTCTTTGGGGCAGCCCCTGAGATACTGGAAGGCTGCTATCATATCCCCCCTCCTCCTTCTCTTCATTAAACTTTCTCTCCTGCTGTTTTTTATCCTCACCAACTCCCTATAAAAATTATTA